ATTTTACACACTTATACTGTATATACTGTATACTTTAAAAAAGTTATATATTCTTATTAAAAAATTTTAATTTCCTAATACAATTTTGACTTCTATGTAGCAGTATGTCTAGAATTTTTAAGAATTGTTCAAATTTTGTTTAGTTTTCTTATTTCGGTGCTCAAAACATAAAATCCTAATATTGTTAAGGTATACCTTTAAAAATTATATGTATTTTTCTATTATGAAATTCTATATTTTAAAGATTTCCCTATATTTTCATAAATTATCTCATAAAAAAACAATATACTAACTAAACTATATACATTTAGTACTTAATTGATATGATTACATATTTTGTCTCTTCGATATTGTGTCGTATACCTAGTATTTCTAAAAGTATTTTAACAGAGAATTTCTATAATTTCGTCTCAAAAGTCGCACTCAATTAGCCCAGCCGAGCTGAGATGAGATTGTGTGTTCGTTCGGACAAGGTTAAACGCTTCAGCTTCAGCTAAATATTCATATTTGCTGATTAACTCATGCGTTTGGCATTCAAAGTGTTTGCGCCACGCATTTCGTATTTGCGCCCCTTTTTCGAATGGAAGCTAAGGAGTGGAGTGGAGTGGAGTGGAGTGAGCGATGTCAGCGATTGCGCTGGGAAATGGCATTTTCATTCTTGTTCACAATTCGAAAGTTCATGCCTTATGAATATTTCAAATATTTCAAGTTTTTGGTCTGGGCGTGGGCGTGGGCGTGGGAGGGCATGGGCGGGGGTGTGTGCGACAGCCCAGTGGGGTCCATTGACGTGCTGGCTGTTATGGCAACTCTGGCATGCGCAACCACTATATAGGGTTGCCATGCCAAAGTTACTTAATATTGCAGTTCACTGTCTGACCAATGCATTTGCTAACAATCAGACAAAGACACACATACACACACACACACCCAGCCACACCTGCGAACGTTGCCTGGTTAATCAATCAGTTCAATCATTCAATCATGTATTGTCTGCGCGGCTGCCGTGTTTAGTTAATGATGACTTGGCCAATTCAGTGCGGGCTAATTGAGCGTGAGGCATGCTGCACATGCCACATGCACTTCAGTTCACAAGTGCATGCGATATAATTGGACAACAACAGGCAGAGCCTGTGAAATGGGTTGGATAGACTTCGATTTCGATTTCGATTTCGATTTGCTTTAAATCTTGTTTTATACCCAAATCACATACTCAATCCCTCCCATCCTCTCTCTCTCACTCTCTCTCTCTCTCTCTCTCTTCAAGGTAAGAGCTTTACGCTGACAATTGTCATCTCAACGAATCCGATACAGATCGCCACCTATACGAAGGCCATCAAGGTAACGGTAGATGGGCCACGTGAGCCACGCTCGAAGGTGCGCCATCAGGGCTTTCATCCGTTCGCATTTGGACCACAGCGTTTTGGCCCGGATCCACTTATGGCCGGATTACCCTTTAAGTTGCCAGGTATGTAAGCCGCTTCCCTCCTTCCCTCAGTCACCCCTCAGTGCCCCCAGGCGCCACGCTGCTCGTTAGGCCAGGTATTGATGTCGTTACGCACGATAAGCCCTAATCATTTGTTTATAGAAACATGTCTATTCTAAGGGTTAAACAGCAGCGAGGGGCGCATTAGCTTCATCTACTCCATCTGGCCAGAGGCAACGGAGACTTTTTTATTAAAAGCGGATCAGATTACTTTATTACGAAACTCAGCTGATGACAGGCAATTAGATATGCCTAGCTGTAAATTTGGCTATTATCCAAGTCAAATGCCAATAAATGGATTAAGGGATTGATAAATAAGTAGAAGATTTACATTGCATGAAATGGAAATCGATTACCCTATAGAAAGTATTTAAGAGTTGGCTGCATCAACATTCACTTGGATTCTATTTAGATGCCACTAGAAGAGAGAAGTCTGATTAAGTGTGCTCAGAAAGAAGCAGACTATAATATCAGACCTACAAGTGATTTAGTACTTAATGAAAGGGGAGTAGATTTCTATATGGAAGGTGTATAAATATAGACTTGGACTCTTGCTTGAGTTTACGAGCTTAGACAGTCTTTGTTTCTTTAGCAGGGACCGCAAATAAGAGTTACGCATTTAAAAAAATTTAGGGTCAAAAGAACTCCCAAGAAGAAAGAGAAAAACACACAAGGATTTCTTATATGGCGAATTAAAAAAAAAGATAAACTTTTATTTGTAATTTTTGATTATAAAAATTATAATCGTTACGATCCCTGCTCTTTAAAAATGATCAGACTTATAAGAGGTGGTGATTTAGTAACTTATGAAAGGAAAATAGATTTCTGTATAAAATTTGTATAAATTACTTATCTTGCTTTATTCCAGGAGATACTCTTAGACTCCTAGGAAGGAATCATTCTATATTATAAGACTGAAAAGTCGTGTGTTAAGGGAGTACTGTATGAAAGCGGAATTGCTCTGGGGATGTATATAGACTCTAGACTATAGTGTAGACATATATTCAGACGAATGGTAAATACATATATCTCTCTAAAGTACAAGAGTATGTAGTGTTAAGAGAAAAGAGTTAGAAATCTTGATTGAAGCAGAACCATATTCAACTTTTCTGCAGGGCTCTCGAGTCGGGTTTACAATTCGACAAGTAGGTGTATGTGTGCTAAAAATGTGATATTGGATTTTCTATAGTCTTACAGCCAGAAAGTTTGGATTCATATTTGTAAATTTAACGACTAGATTACATTTTACATTCTCAATTAATATGCCAAAAATTAGCAATTAAAAATAAAATAAATAAATAAATAGGAAATTCGAAAAATGTAAACGTTTTGAAAATTTTTAAAGTTTTGAAAATTTTAAAAATTACAAAATTAAAAAAAAAATAATTTTGAAATTTTGGAGCTCTAAACTGGAGCAGTTAAGTTATTGGAGCGACCTTCAGGACTTCTGAGTCCTGTTCCCAAGCTATTAATGAGTATTATGCAGTCGGTGGCGCCCTACTGCCTACTACAAAGGCTTTACTTGTTCCTATGTTCCTATCAATATAATTATGAGATGCATTGCTCTACTTGACACGCTAACTGCATTGACATGAATTTATGATGTCTTGAAAGCAACCAGAAGACATTCATCTATGACGATTGAAACTATAGAGTGCCAACATTCACACTAACTCTACCACCTAATCTCGCTACAAATACTCTACCTTTTTGGGACTTCAGGTTTTTTTAAGTCATAACCAGTTTTCGCTGGCACTCGTCGTCTTAGAGCTGTAGCTGCGTGCTGGATGGCAGCTATCATTAACAGTCGAAGGACATTAGCATACGGACGATGACAAATGCGTGCTCAGGCAGGCGCCGGGCCCTGGCGACAGGCGTGCTAACAGATTCGCGCTGCCTTTTTGTTAAACCCCAATGCATCTGTTTGCCCTATTTATGCGCCCATAATGCACACACACACACACAGACACACACGCGCGCGCGCATACATAGGGAGAGAATAGAGGCGACAATTATATAACAAAACAACAGCTTGAAAAATCCATTAAAATGATTTTAATCCTTTAACGAGTCACAAAACGGCAGCGGCAGCGGCAGCGGCATCAACTTCGACTCGCACAATTCGAAGATGAGCAGCAACCCCCGAGCCATCAGCCGGAGTCACCTCCCCGCAGGCAACCCTTAGCAATCAGTGCGCGCCCTCGGTTCGACAGCAGCAGCAGCATCAGGCGCAGACTTAAATTATTTTAAAGCGCGCGGCGCGACTGTTGCAACAATAAACACGCGATATAACCAGACTGCGAACAAGGATAACGACGGCACGGCAAGGACAATGCCGAAGACTGTGAAAAGTCGCTGCTGTCGCCGTCGGCATCGGCATCGGCATCGACTTAGACAGCGACAGCGACAGCGACATCGAAATCGTCGCCTGGTAAACAAATCCCGTTTGATACGCTTTGATTTTATTAAAATTTAACAATTTCACTATGAAATTTATGAGGCGACAAGTGGGTGAATGCCTCGCTAGGTGGTGCAACCACCACAGCCATCACCACTGCCACTGCCACCGCCGCCCCCGCTGCCCTCGCCCAGGCCGCTGGCACCATTCATTTGTCTGTTGCCCGCATTCTGCTGTCTGCTGTCTGTTGTCTCTCTGCTTCTATCACTTTCCCTTTTGCCTCGGCTTCTTATAAACTAAGCCAATTGAAATCTTGACTTTCAACATTTCCAATATGAAGTTTTCGACAAAATTTTTCCAGCTACACAAACGTAAATTTCTATTTGCTTTACCAATTGCATTTCACAGGATCTTCCATAGTTTGTTTATGCATTTGTTAATTGCCTTTGGTTTGTGCAGTGTGAAGAGCAATATGATTTATAATCGAAATAACGTCGCATAAACAGCATTAAGTTTGCTTGAATCTGCTCAAAGGTTTTTAATTTGATAAAGCAGAATCAGATGGCAGAAATTCTCAATAACTTAAATTGCATTAAACATCATGAATTTAGTCTGAGAGTAGGAATCTTATTCTCATTTAGTTCATTTATTAAGCTGCTCCATAATTTGACGTAGGCCATAGCAAACCGATTCCTTAAAAAAAAGTGAAATGAATTGAAATTTAATTGAAGCGATTCTTTTCTTTTTATGGTTTTTAATATTCATATACATATACGTATATTTAAATAAATAAAAAAATTCAACCTTATAGTTTGTATATATAAATGAAATCAATACAAGAACAAAATTGCCTAAATAAGAAAATTTATAGTTTTATAATTTATTGAAATAAAGTATAACCATGCATATAATTTCAAATTTT